GCCAGGACTTTAGCAGGGTTCAAAAAAGAACTAGATAAATTGATGGAGGATAGGTCCATCAGTGGCTATTAGCCAGGATGGGCAAGGATGGTGTCCCTAACCTCTGTATGTTAGAAGCTGGGAATGGACAACAAGGGATGGATCACTTGATGGTTACCTGCTCTGTTCATTCCCTCTGGGTGACTTGGCACTGGCCACTGTTGGAAGACAGAATACTGGGTAGATGGACTTTTGCTCGGATCTAGTATTTAGCTTTTCTTATGTTTTATTAGATGTCTATCTGCATCTTCAGGCACTTGATTACTTTTCTGTCTGTACCTTAGGAGCCTAAGACTCATTGAAAATCAGTGGGATTTTAAGTTGTCAATTTTGAAAAACAGGACACAGGTGTTTTTGAAATGTTTGCTCTTAATCTTTCTATACCTCAAATTTCCCCATCTGTAAAATGGTTATAAAAGTTCATGCCTTCACAGAGATGATATGAAGATGATTTAATGTAAGTGAGGTGCTAAACATTCCTAAACCAAAACGCTTAATTAAAAAAAATCTAATTAAAATTGCTAAGCAGCAACTGTCTAGTTAACTATCACATCATCTACAGCCCCAAACCAATTAAAAACAAGAAAACATAGCATAAATAATCATGTAAATCTTATACTGGCCACTTAATAAATGCACATATTATTTGTGAAGTATAAAGAAATACAAATTTCATCAGCCCTCAAAGTTGCAAATAAATCTGGTAAATATGAACCCCATAGACACAAAAACCAGGAGGAAAATAATACACATTTTAATGTCATGTTTTTAAGCCAGTCTCAGTGTTTTGTAAGGCCTCATACATGTGTGTGTTTGGGGTTGGTAATAATGTTTTAACAATGGCACAAGGTACAAGGCAGTTGTAAGAAAGGCTTGATATCTTCTAAAAGATCTCTGGTGAGATCAAATTGATCAAAGTGAGTTGTGCTGGCTGCTGTTATCCACTTTCTAAGTCGCATCACTGTAAAGAATAAATACAGGATTTTCTACAGAGCAGAGAACAGTACAGGAAAAGCCATGTTTCTTATGCTAATATAAGGTATAGTGCAGTAATGATGAAATGCTGTGTAAATACACTGATACATATTGAATTATTACCAGCAGTTTCACAGTCACATTAAATGGCATCTACAAATATCAGTTCATTTCAGTTAATACTGTGCCTAATAGCATTACCTGATTTTCCTTTGGTATCTGCAACAAAATTTATATTTTATCCAGTGCTTCCTGAAAACTAGTTTTTTTTAAAATCTGCCAAATACTGTATTTTTGACATTGTAATATTACAGCTGCAGTCAATTGCTCACATCTAGCTCTCTCAACGTGCCTAATCTGCATTAAAACTGGCAGAATGAGAAATCCCAAAGCTACTAATTATTGAGGCATGATGCCACACACAGAGATGAACTAAAAAAGCCACTTTGTCCTTGTCTGTATTAGGAATATTCAAATGCATTTTCTGCATTGTTCTTGTTCCACTTGTGCTCCCAACAGTGGAAAGGTTAATGTAGACAGAATACAGGTGTAGACAGTACATTGATAAGAACTCTGGTGCACCTTCTACACTAGAGCCCTGTGCTGTTAGACACTTTAAAATTGTAGGAGGACTCAAGAGTGATACAGTCAATGGCTGGAAGACTCTGTGAGTTATACAATAGGTTAGCCAGGGATTAGCTCACTTTACTCGTGAAAATATTCTCCTTGAACTCAGTAGGCCAACCAGCATTTCTCCTTACACCAATATAAATCCCAGAATCAGTTAACTTTGCCTCAGTTTTTAATACGTCTAACATACTTGCAGCTTTTAGTATGAATCCTTGTAATTTCCCCTTCAACCAGTTCCTTTTCCACCTTTCAATTACATTAATCCTCACATTTCCCAATTTAATAAATTGCTCTCTCTCAAATGCCTTTTTGAAATACAGATAGATTAGATCTGCTGCATTTCTTTTGTCTAAAAGACCAAGTATATTCTCAAAGAAGGAGATCAGGCTGGTCAGTCACAATCTACCTGCTGGGGCAGTCTCGGGCCACAGCACTCCCTTTCACCCTCAGCAGCAGCAGAAATGTGAGTGTGGAGGGGGCTCAAAGGCTGGGTGTTGGAATGTGGGAGGATTCAGGACTCTGAGCCAAGGGTGGGCAAGAGGCAGCCTGCCAAACCTTTTCATCCGGCCCGTGGGCCAACCTGTTGAGACCCCAAGGCGGGCTCTCTGCCTGCTGCAATCCGAGGCTGCTCAAAATGGCTGGCACCTCCCCCTAGGCAACCTCTGCCCCTGGTGGGGGGAGGGGAGGAAGAGCCATCCTGTTCATAGGATGGTTTTGGGCTTTCCCCTGGGCCCCACGCTTTGAGGGACCTCATGGCACCCGCTCCAACTGTTCTATGGATGAGACTATCCCCCATATTGATGCGAGTCTGTGGGACTTAGGGCAGCCTGGGGGATTACCTGAGGGGAGGGGCCTGGAGCAGGGCAACAGGAGGGATTGGAACCCCCCACACTCACTGCAGCAGTGGGAGCCATGGAAACAGAACGACGCAGCAGATTGCTCCGCTCTGCTGCCACCTCCCAGTTGGGTTGCTCCAGTTCACGGTGGCAGCGGGAAGCTGAGCGCCCCGACCCCAGCCTGCTCCACTCCCCTAGGAAATCATTTTTACCTGTTCAAAGTGGATGGCTAATGTTACTAAACAAGAGTGACAGCGCTTGCATAGGGATAAATGATCACTCAAAGGCTCAGAATGGTGGCAATCCAGATTCTGATTTTGAGTGTAACAAAAAGTTTAGGGAAACAACAGTATATGGAATACTGCTGAAAAAATAAAAATGATCCCAACTCAGAAAGAACTAAAAGAATGAGCCCTGTCATTCTGCTAACTCTCTTCTCAGATATAATCGGATCTAACAATATGTATATGGCTTTAACATCCATCTTTCTGAGGACAAGAGGCATAACTTTAAGAAGACAACCCCAATGAGGCAGTGGGAGTAAATAACAAAAGACATGCAGTGCAGCAATCCATTCAGCATATTCATGATTATTATAATATACACATACAGTGCCATCATTTTACACTGTCTTGCAGAGGGACCCAAAGAGTTAGGTATCTTCATAATCACCCATACCATCCTTATCACTAGCACACCCTGTTACCAGCACACCCCAAGAGAAAGTTTAAGATCTCCAGGAACACAGGCTGGAATACAACTTTAATAATTTGTTATTCTGACACCACAATGCAGATTGCATATTCAGCTGAGGGTTCTTCTCCCTATTAATGTAAGGGTGCCCTTCTTCCATAGGCTAGGAAGCCTTTTACCTTGAGGTTATTAGCATATATATCTGTTAGTTGCCATGGCAGTCTTTGTGGCCTGCTGAGGATCCTAACTTAAAATATCCCAAGCTGGTATAAACTAGTATGTTGTGGTGACCTGTGAGCAGTTTTGTCATTAGAGCATTCTGTCTTGTGATATCTTGTGATTTAGAGTTACTGCTGGTTAATTGCATATGGTAAGGCTTTTGGGCCTTATGCCTTGTTTAGCTAAGTTATTGCCTTACAGTCCTTAGGCCTGTAGGTTTACTGGTTTTACTGCCTTAACTTATGCCTAATCTAGCAAATATCTGTAGTCTACAGAAGTAAATTGGTGGACTCAGTCCATTTCTTACTGGAGAAGCAAGCATGTAACAAATACAGAATCAAAACTGACTCTTGTTGGAATTCACAGAAGAGAGATCAAGGTATAATTAAGCATGGAGACTGAGTCTACCTCACATATGATCCCATCAAATCAGAAGTGGGATGCACAGATGGAAAGTCAGTGTGCAAGAATCTTATTATGGCTGCTGTGGGTGAGTAAATTTCAGCCTCTGGTGTCCTCAGCTCTAGTACAGTGACATTTGGAGCTGCTCCAAAACACTACAGATGTTAAACAGGTTTCTCTCCTCTTCACCATTAAGGGAGATGAAGTGAATAAGGAGAATGTATGGAGAAATGTGGCTGTGCGCGTTCGGCTGCTATTTTCATTTAATTAGGTCTCATCTCTTCCATTTTCTCTCCCCCATTCTTTATCCTTTCTGCATCTGTTACTAGACATCACAGTGCTGCTCTTTTCAGAATAATGCACATGTATCTATATGAAATACACCCCAAACTGTTACTTATGCCATTAAGTTATAGAATAGCATGATCTTGTTACACTAATGACACAATGTGTAATAGAGAAAAGAGGATGGCCATATAATGAAAGGCCACATAATGAAAGGCAGGTTATATGTAAGGGAAAAGTAGGATTTCCAATGGAGGTGTCATTTCTGCAGTTATGAAGTGTGTGTGATATCAGGGTTCTTCATTTATTCATCATGTGGCCCATATTTAAATAGACAGATTGTCTCCTGTGTCTCACCCCCTTCAGTGAATGCATGGACCAGCTCCTCTCATTTACTGTAACTTAACATCCTTGTGACAATTACAGTAACTGCTCACCTGGAAAAGTAACATTAGGAACATATTTATATATATTTTCACTCTTCAGTTCAATAAACATCTTCTCCCTTTTGGAAAATTTATCCCACTGACACTGCCTACTCTTACTTTTCATATAATTGTCCCTTTCCTATCTGTTTTATTCCTCTCTTCTTATCTCCAGTAGATACTTCCCTGCCAATTTGGCTCCTTTCTCTTCCTCTCCCACTAGAAGTAGGCAATTGGCAGCATGTTCACTCTCCTTTGCTTACCTGAGGATACCTTTCTTGTGGATAGGCAGCAGATCTGGTCCTATGGATAAAACTGCTCTCTAAGGGTGTGTGACAGAACTAACCTGCCCCCACACTGAACAGGAGGGGAGGGAGCCCATTTATTGGGCAGAACACGCCCCTCCCCCACAGCCCTACTGGGCATGCTCGAAGTGCAGCCTCACTATAAAAGACTGCTGGGCTGCTCAGTTGAGGGAGAATGCTGGGGAGTCAGGAGCTCCAGCCCAAGCTGCAGGCCTGCTGTTGGACCTACCACCAGAGCCAGAGAAGCTGCCGCCGCCGCCGCCAGCCCCAGGGCGAGCCTGCCCCCAACACCGATGCCCATTGGCCACCCGCCCCACTGCAGAACGCCCGGAGCAGCTGCCCCAGGGACAAGACCATCGGACGAAGTTGCTGCCGGCAACCCAGCATTGCCAGGTGGGACCTCTGTCGGCTACCAGATTGGGGGTAGGAAGCAACCCAGGGCAAGGGGCTGGGAAACCCCCCCCCCCCCAGTGGGCTTAGCATGTTTTGGGGGAGGACCCCCCCGCTGAGCCAGTGGTGGGAACCACCCACCACCATTAGGGCCCTGGGTTGGGGTCCGGTGGAGAGGGAGGGCCTGGACCCCCCCCACCCCACCCCGCAGTGCTGGACTAGGCCGCTGGGCCTGCTGAGAGTGCTGGACTAGGCCCCTGGGCTGGGGGTTAATGCTTTGTTCCCCAGGGGAAAGGGGGCGGAGGCGGGTGGTACCCCGCCACAGGGTGGTTCCTCTTTCCTTTCCTCTTAACCAGCTCCCTTCTCTTTTCTTGTTTCCCATTGGGGATTATTTTTAAAAAGCCTTCAAACTTTCCTTTGCAACACTGAGCCTGGACACTTGTAGAAAATGGATGGAAGGAGACTGTGTGGAAAAATGTGTGGACACAGCACCATGCATCTGTCAGCTTTCCATGGATACCAGCAAATGCTCCATAGATCATGATTTGGGAACTGTTGTAAGGTAATCAGTTTTTTGCTGTTCTGTTGACACATTGCCATTCCAAATGGTCCTGATACAAGCCTCCAATGGGTAGTCACAGCTCTCTGAGGGTACGTCTACACTTGCTCCCTAGTTCAAGCTAGGGATGCAAATGTAGTCAACCGAAACTGCTAATGAAGCGGGGATTTAAATATCCCAGACTTCATTAGCATAATCTCGCCCGCGCGTTATTCCACTCGCCAGCTGATTCGAACCAGGAAGTGCGCTCCAGGACGCATTAGTTCGAATCAAACCCTTTGGTTCGAACTAACATTACTCCTCAAAAAATGAGGAGGTTCCTGGTTTGAATCAGCTGGCAAGCAGAATAACGCGTGGGTGAGATTATGCTAATGAAGCACAGGATATTTAAATCCCCACTTCATTAGCAATTTCGGTTTGCTACATTTGCGTCCCTAGCTCAAACTAGGGAGCAAATGCAGACGTACTAGAAAGTCTCAGTTGGTATTATAAATATCATAGACCAGGGGTGTCCAAACTTTTTTCAAAGAGGGCCAGATTTGATGAAGTGAACATGCGTGAGGGCCGACCATTTTGCCTGACATTCTTTGAACCATTAAAATTAAATGCAAATTAACTATTTTATGCAAAGTTTATTGCAAACGGCATACTTTTCATTTCGTCACATGGATGACAAATCTAAACAGGTGTTAAATCACTCTGCCTTTCATATCTGAAGGCCAGATGAAAAAAAAATCCAGGAAGCTGAAATATATGTCAGGAACATTGTAAAGTACATTACATATTATTGGTAATAAAGGTTGTCTGTCAACTTTTAAGTTCAAAAAATATGAACAGGAACATAACACCAAGTATACATGTTGTGTCCAAATATATTTATAAATGAGTTAGACCAACTGACTAACTGAGATTTTACAATGTATTCATCTCAATACATATGGATTCGTTGGGGGCCATAAAAGATAGATATTGCCAAATTACCTGTGGGGCCGTATTAAACAGGAACACGGGCCGCAATTGGCCCCCGGGCCGGACTTTGGACATGCCTGTCATAGGAGATCGAAAATATAACTGCTGGATCTCAGTGGGCTTGAGGAACTTCCTAGGGAATAAACAGGAGAGAGCATTTATGGAAAAATACTTAGCTTCTCATTGTTTCTGCTTTTTAATGTATGCCATATAGGCTGTGTCTAAAAGTAGCCTTTTTTCGAAAAAACTTCACCTGCGTCTAGACTACAGCTGCGTTCTTTCAAAATTAAATCGAAAGAAAGCGACTTTTCTTTCTATGGCGGTACTCCTCATTTCACGAGGAAGAACGCCTTTTTTCGAAAGTGCTCTTTCAAAAAAAGGCGTTCTTGAATGCAAACAGGGCTTTTTCGAAAGAGAGCATCCAGACTGCCTGGGTGCTCTCTTTCAAAAAAGCAGCTTGCTTTTTCGAAAGTACTGCTTGCAGTCTAGACGCTCTTTTTCGAAAGAGGCTTGCAGTCTTGACGTAGCCTTAGAAAGAAACATATTTCTGGCAGTAATATAACTACCACTGAGTACTTTGGTTGCTCCTTGTGTCTTCGAAGCTCTATACAAACATTAACTAATTAGTCTGTCAGGGCATGTCTACACTAGGAAATTATTTCAAAATTACTAACATTTACTTAACTCTTGATTTAACAAAATCAAAATAGTGTCCACACTATGGGAAAGCCTTGAAATTAGTCCGAGGCAGATTCCATTAATGTAGACATCCTACCTTGACTTAAAGCCCTAGGAAGCACTGGGAAGTTATTAGTATGAATTACTATGGGAAGTAGTTATTTTGAAATAGCAGCACCGGAGCATCCGCACTAATGCTATCTCAAAAAACTATTTTGAAATTAGCATTATTCCTCAAGGAAAGAAATAGTACAGATTTTGAAATAAGCAGCCCAAAATTTTGAAATAATGGGTTTGATAGTGTGGATGCTCCACTTAAAAATGTAACCTAAGGGGGGTTATTTCAAAATAATGCACTGGTGTAGACCACGGCTCAGTGTCGCTATGAAGCAAGCATTGTCCCAATTTGACTGATACGGAAACAGAGCCCCAAAGAAGGGAAAAGCCTTGCTTCAGGCCACACAGTACATCAGTAGCAAAACTGAGATTAGAACTCTTAGGGGACCTGCCTGCCTGCCATACTCAACCCAATAGCCCACGCTGCCTCTCAATATTACAAGCAACTTCTCAGCAGAATTGAAAGATCCTGAATCGCCGGGGATAAGCCTTAAGTGCCCACAACATGCACTACTTCTATTTCATTTAACGTAGTCTATAAGACCCATGGGTCTTGACCATTCATGCATGACAGTTTCTAAAGTGACATACATATCCCTTTTCATATGTGTTCATTTTTTTAATTGTATCCTTTGGTATATATGGTTGTGACAATTTTCTTCCACTATTTGATCTGAGGAAGTGGGTCTGGCCCACGAAAGCTCATCACCTAATAAACCATCTTGTTAGTCTTTAAAGTGCTACATTGTCCTGCATTTTGCTTCATACATATCACTGTGACTGTATTAAGTAATAAGCAGCAGCATGTGGTGTGGCTAATAGAACTACTCTGAAAACTCCACCCTAAATAGCTATTTATCTGACATGGAAGCCAAGAGAACAGACATCACAGGAAATCACAAGCTGTGACCCAAGAAGTCTGGTACTTTGCTAAAATATAAGGAGTGAAGCAGATTGTGCAAAGATCTAATGTGAAAACAAGAATAAATGGCTGCAGCAAATATAAGGCTTCCAGGAAGAGAATAGTAATAGAGATGTAGCTGTGTTAGTCTGGTCTTGCTGAAACAAAAGACAGAACTATGCAGCACTTTAAATAGTGATAGAAATGTAGCCGTGTTAGTCTAGTGTAGCTGAAACAAAATACAGGACTATGTAGCACTTTAAAGACTAACAAGATGGTTTATTAGGTGATGAGCTTTCGTGGGCCAGACCCACTTCCTCAGATCAAATAGTGGAAGAAAATAGTCACAACCTTATATACCAAAGGATACAATTAAAAAAATGAACACATATGAAAAGGACAAATCAAATTTCAGAACAGAAGAGGGATGGGAGGGGGGATGGTAAATGTCTGAGCTAATGATATTAGAGGTGATAATTGGGGAAGCTGTCTTTGTAATGGGTAAGATAATTATATTGTTTATTCAGACTCACGTGTAAAGTGTCGAATTTAAGCATGAATAACAATTCAGAGGATTCTCTTTTAAGCGCAGTCTTAAAAGGCTTTTGAAGCAGGATGCAGGTAATTAAATCATTGAGACAATGTCCTTTCTGGTTGAAATGGCAAGAAACTGACCCACTTCCTCAGATCAAATTGTGGAAGAAAATTGGCATGACCATATATACCAAAGGGATACAATCAAAAAAAGTGAACACACATAAAATTGACAAATCAGATTTTAGAACGGGGGGGAGGGGAGGGAGATTAGTGTCTATAAGATAATGATGTTGGGGTGATAATTACAAAGATAGCTTCCCCAATTATCACCCCTAATATCATTGTTTGGGCTCTGCTTTGCAGTTGGTGGTATAGAAGTTCCCAGTACTGTTCACCTCTAAAGGAGGAACATCTGATCTTAACCCAGGAGACTGGTCAACAACTCTGGCCAAGTTTAGGATTTGAAAACAAACCAAGAGGAGGCATCTCATTTGAATAGGAAGGGCATAAAGAACTGGGTTTCCCTTCATGTAATGTATGATAAGTCACACATACAGTTGCCAGGTGTCCGGTATTGACACGGACAGTCCGGTATTTTTGCCTCCTGTCCAGTAAAAAAAATTCAGAAAATACTGGACACCTCAAATGTCCGGTATTTTCTGGGCGTTTTTCCCCTGCCAGGAGGTGAAAATACCGAACACCTGGCAACCCTACAACACACTCAGCAACCGGGCCCAGCCCCCAGCCCTCCTTCAGCCTCCCCCTTCACCAGGCACCCTGGACGCCGCTCCACCCTCACCCCCACACTTACCTGGTTCCGCAGGGGTTTGTCTTGTGGCTGGAATAGAAAAACAAAATGGCCACTGGCAAAAAAGCCTCTTCTTAAAGGGACTATGATTAACTGCTGTCGGGGTCCCCCCACCCTTTTTTTTTTTTTGCTCAACAACTTTAGTCTCACCCCCCCTTTTTTTTTCTCTCAACAGAATTTTTGTCCTGTTTTTTTTGGGGGGGGGGGTGTTCGGTATTTTTGGTTAAACCACCTGGCAACCGTACTCACACACCCAAATGAATGGGGTTCATAAATAAATTGTGACTATGACTGATTGGTCCCATGTTTCTGGTTAGCAGTTGCACTTTTCAATTTCATTTATCTGCCATGGAAGGATAAAGATCTAAAATAATCCTGTTTTCCCAGGGAAGCCAGGCAATTCAGACGTGATGATCACAATATTAAATCATCTCCTAGAAACAAGTAGAAAGTAAAGAATGGCAAGGATATGTGGGATGCCTGAGGAGTCAGGATAAGTGGAGAAAAAACCTGAAAATATTCAAACACATTTCAAGATATTAAATGATTAAAAAAAGATGAAAGTTCAAGAGTCTGAAGGGCAATCCAGATGACTGCATTAATTAGAGACGCATCAATGGTTAGTGCATGGAAATGAAGGTGTTCCACATAATTATCATACTAGTGTGATTTTTTCCCTCCCATAGCACTTAAGAGAGCAGATCATATCTTCAATTAACATTTGATACAGAGAGACAAAAATCTCCCACTTAGGTGTGCACAAGGGATTCAGAAGTGGGCCTTTAATATGCCAGGTTTTGCCCATTGTGTGCAGATGCACCACGAGAGGCTATCAGTTACCTCACTAAACAAAAGTCATTCTATCTATAGGGTGGCTAAGCCAGTTAGCAATTTGTTACTACTGACTGCTTTCAAAGGTTCAAGTCCTAAGGCTTTGTTATTTCACTTCAGAGCAGCTACTTGCATCAGTGACTATAGGAGTAAGCCTGATCAGGCTCATTTTATTGCTTATGTATTTTTAAAATTAAGTGTATTTCATAGGCTTTACATTTGTAAACCCATTTACGGCAAATATCATAGAATCATAGAACTGGAAGGGACCTCAAGAGGTCATGGAATCAATTCCCTGCCCTCACGGCAGGACCAAGCACTAGCTCATCCCTGACAAGTGTCTGTCTAACCTGCTCTTAAATATCTCCAGTGATGGGAGATTCCACAACCCCCCTACACAATTTATTCCAGTGTTTAACCACCCTGATGGTTAGAAAGTTTTTTCCCAATGTCCAACCTAAACCTCCCTTGCTGCAATTTAAGCCCATTGCTTCTTAGCCTATCCTCAAAGGCCAAGTAGAACAATTTTTCTCCCTTCTCCATGTAAACACCCTTTTAGGTGCTTGAAAATCTCTATCATGTCCCCTCTGTCTCCTCTTTTCTAAACTAAACAAGTCCAATTCTTGCAGTGTTCTCTCATAGCTGATGTTTTCTAGACTTTGAATCATTTTTGTTGCTCTTCTCTGGACCTTCTCCAAATATCTGCCATTACTCATTTCTAGGATTTGTCTAGAGTGCCCAGCACCATAGCATACAAGTGCTAAAGTCAGATAAAGCATAAAGAATGCTACGGGATCAGAAATCAAACAATATCAAGAATAATACAAATAAGTTATTTTACAGTAGAGTTTTATTTTCCTAAATGTAAGATTTTTAGAATCAGCCTAAAAGAAAATTTCTGGCTTTGGGGAATGCAACAAACAACTCTTTAAAGTAATTACTAATAGTTACTCCGTACCAGTAACTTCTCTTTACTTTATACAATGGAAACATACCTCACACTTAACATCCAGTTCAAGTGAATTAAGAACTAGCAGAGCATTTTTAATGGGATGAGAAAAAATGGCAGTCACTCTTCTCTGTGAAAAGTGGTAATGACAACTCCTTTCTTGAAACAGCCTAAATACATCTTCCTTAAATTACACAGATGTTGGGCTTTGTTACTTTATAACAAAAAGACTATTATTACCAATATCCATCTGTGTGTGTGTGGATTGTGACAAAGCTCCTACTCAAACTTTGTGGGTCTTGTGCTTTCAGGTGGATTGATTGCCTCAGGGGCCCACAGAGGTTCTCAATTTAGGAACCACATCTAGGGCTTCAGCTTGCTGTTTTTGTTGAGCTTTTCTCATCATTGGCCAGCATAAGGTATAGAGGAAAACCGAACTCCACAGTCTCAGTGGACCCCCAAATGATACATGACTGGGTTAACCCCTTTGTTTTCCCCAGCCAGCCTATTTTCTGAGTGGAAATGAGGAAGTGGGTATTGGAGAGAATCCAGACCCACCCTCTACTCCGGGTTCCAGCCCAGAGCCCTGCAATAGCAACTACCAGAGTTGTCTGGGGCCAGAGACTTTGAATAAAAAATACAGCAAAAGGCTTGCTGCTCCCAGCCCCGCCACTAATGTGTTTTCTGGCAGTTGCCTGGGATTGCTGCAGCTATTTAAAAGGCTCCGGTCACAGTGCTACTCCAGCTGCATCTTGCCCAGCCCTAGTCTTGAGATTTCCTACAGGGAGCTCTCACGTGATGTTTACAAGTACGTAAAGAGGTGTTCACTTCTGTACTCTTTGCCCAGAGACCGTAAACGAGGGGTGGGAAACCTAAGGCTTCCCTATAACCAGCCCCTGAGGCTCAGGCTCCCTCCCTCAGCATTGGGGAGCCCACACTGGCACTCCAAACCCCTCCCTCTGCTGTCTCCCCACAGGGCTAGAGCACACAAAAACTACTAGCCTGGACCCCCCTTGTCCCAGGCTGTGGTGTGAGGGGAGTGTCTGTCTCCTCAGTCAGGGGCCATGTCAGTGAGGATTTTTTTTCCTTTTTGCTTCTGATTTGTGTGGTCCCCAACTGATTTTTCTGTGGGTCAGCAGCCCCTGACCGAAAAAAGGTTCCCCACCCCTGCCAGCGTAAACAGTTTCTATAGATATGGTTCTCTCCCCTAGAGCAGACATGTTAACAGGTAAATCTAAAGTCAGCCCTTGATTAACACAGACCTTTCAACTTGAGAGACTGCCTCTCTGCTCCTACCAAACTGCCACAGTCAGAGGCACCAACTTTGTGGGTATCTCAAGGCTCAAACACACACAGCTCAGGGGAGATGGGAGAGCAACAAATGGCAGACAGGTCGGGGGGGTAGAGTGGGGACCAGAAGAAGTGAAGTGAGGGCAGGGTCCTGGGAGAAGAGCAGAGTGGGGGCAAGAGGAGGCGAGACCTCAGGGTAGAGTAGCGATGGAGCAGCCACCAGGCAAAACTTTAAAAAGTCAATGCTGATGGCCACACAGTTATAAAATCAGTGGAGGTATCAGAGCTGAATCCTAACAATTTAAAAGCAAGCAAGCAGGAATACAGAGAGCTCATACTTGTTGGACCAAAAATAGTTTGAGTCTATTGACCTTTAGGACATGCTGATAGGCACATCTGTTTGCACAGGCTGCTGTGGAAGAAGGAGACATTGGATCTGAGAGTGCAAGTTGTGTTCTGTAAGGGGACTGCATTTTTGGCTGTTTGGGGGTGAGCTGCTATTGAATTGTTTGGCATTGTTCTTGTAACTCGTATCAGGGCATCTGGATTAAAGATGTGAATAGTTAACCTTACACCTTACTGGGTGATGTTTACTGGTAACTGGTTAATAGACAGCCCTATGGGGCTGGGAATCCTACAGAGTCAGAAGCTGGAAGCCCCACAGAACTGGGAACCCTGAAGAGCCAAGCACCGCTATGGAGCCAGCAACCCTACAGGGCCTGGCCCTGGGACCTCGCTTAATCAGTTAAACATAACATTTAACTGGTTAAACGGGATTTTACATCCCTAATCTGGATCTTTTTAATTTTCTTGTATAAAACTACATAAGTAAATGTAATAAAAGCAGAAAAGCAAACTTCTTGCATTTAAATCATGGTAGGTGATTGTAGGATTTGCTCTAAATTAATTTTTCTGGCTTTGAGCAAGACAGATATTAGTTATCTTGAGAGCATCTTCTCTTACACCAAGAATATGCTAAAATCAAGGAGTGGCAATGCAGCATGTTTCAGGAAAGAACCTTTCTCCATTTCAGCTTTTACATTTTAAGAGGAGTACTTGGTGTTTTTATGTCTTTTCTGGCTGAAATCCAGATGCACAGATGTTGCAGGAAGATTAGGCCTTTGATAATCACCAGAGAGTTGCTTTCCCAGAAAAATCACAAATCGGGATTGAGCAGGAAACCAGGGATTCCTCTGGCCTCCAGGTGACCTGGCCACATGTGTTGGCAGGACCAAACATAGTCCAGTCTGACACGGAAAAATGACTCTGTACAGATCACTGACCAAGGACTGGGCCATTAAGTTTCTTGAGTGCTACTAATGGCCCCATTTAGCATGTCTAGATTGGTAAACAGGTTTATACTCCATATTTCTAACTTCAAATACAGGAATGGTACATGCACACAAATAGAATATACACATTCAGCAGATTGCAAGCTTTCTAATGATACCTTTGAAGAATTAGTTTGCATAAAGCATATTTGAGTTACACATTCACAAGCATAGTTCTATAAAGATACAAAATACACTGTTACACTGAGTATTTAGCAGAATATGCTCCATAGTCTCATACATGCAGGCACCACAGTCAGAATTTCCTTCATTTATTCAGATTCAGGAATTACAGTTAAGCCCAGAGCAAAACTCTGGATCTAATACCTCAGAAATTTGTAATTGAAGACTGGGTCAAAACTCTACAGCTGGGTTGTATTTCCATTTTGAGCAAAGTCAACAGCTTGATTCTGAACACAATCAAATTTTGTGATTTAGGACCAGGACTCACAAATTTGGCTTCCAAAGCACAGGCCTCTATCCTGAGTCCAGAAGCAAACTGTATCTCCACTTGCCAAATCGCTGATAAAACAGATGTGCATCTCTGAGTACATGATCTATCCAGTTGGGGCAGTAATACACCTAAGGACTTCCCACCTTTAGTACAACACCTTTTCTCCTGAGAATACATGTCCCTCAGTCAGGAAAATGCAATTGTGGTAAGAAAACAGGGCAGAATCATGTATTCTCTTCAAATAACATATCACATTTGTGCTAGGGACAAAAAATACCTGCCACTGCGACAAAGCAACTAAGGCAAAGAAGGTACATATGTGAAAAACTGAAACCAATTGTCAAAGGTGGACTTAACAGATGGCTCTCTATTCTGCATCTTTTGGGACTCCTGCAATCAGCTTTAATTCCCATTAACAATTGTTGCGATCATGCTTTTATCTGTAGGGTTTAAATCCCTCCACAGACCTACGCTGTATAATTGATAGTAGTGTTGATTAAATAGAAACTCTTTTTTATTGGAAATTCTAGTTTGGGGAATTGCAGTTTGTTGCAGACAGAGAACCTCTGGACAGAATACGCTCTCTAGCTAAAAGCAAGACAACTAGGATGAATAGTGATAGAAATGTAGCCGTGTTAGTCTGGTGTAGCTGAAACAAAATACAGGA